TTCTTTACATAAAACTCTCTCTTATACATGAGTCGCTGTGGATTTGTTTCTCCAAAGTACCTAGACTAATACAGTTGGAGACAGAGGAACAGAAGGAGACAAGGCTCAGTCAGGAATGAGACATATAGAGAGGCTTTATTAAGGTGAGGGAAAGCTCCCAAACGAGTTCCTCAACCCAATGGTTAGGTCAGGGAGGTCGTGCCTGGCAGTGAGGCAGTGGGACATGTCTAGGGCCTGAGCCAAGGACCTATGTGCTGAAAAGAGGGAGGGAGGCCTTCTGGGGGTGCAGTTGCAGGGTCTGAGTCGGATGTGGTCTGTGAGCAAATCATCCCGGAACACTGAGGGAAGGGGCTGTACAGACCCGGCCTGGAGAGATAAGCTCCTTGGAACACTGGGGGCAGGGACTGCACAGTCCAGCTCTGGCCTTGAGAGGAGGGGTAAGGGGCCGCACAGCCCAGCAGGCTATCTTTCGGGAGAGCTGGGGGAAGTGGCTGAATGGTCCGGACCCGGCCCACACACAATGTAGCGAGAATTACTGAGAGCCCAGTGAAGGTTGAACATGGTAGCTGGAAAGGAGGAAAGTAAAAGAAAATAGAGGAAGGAACTAGGAGGCAAAAGACTTTTATAGAGGTATAAATATAGGTATGCATATATGTAAATATATTAATATATAATGATAGGGATATAAGTCTATGGACATATATTTATAGGTTAAGTATCAAGGTAGCAGACAGACATTGGACCTCTACTTAAGTCCTCCCTCAACACAAGGACACTTTGTTCTAACAACCTGGCATTCTGTGGTGCTCATCTTCCCCACACGATCACTGAAGTCAAAATGGGTGCATAAGCAAATGTGGTGAAGAAAACTGATGGTGCCCGGCTATTATAAGATATAGTGTCTAGGATCTTAAAGGTTTGAAGTTAAACAAGTGGCTATAGGGCAGGGAAGCAACAAAGCCCACATGGGAGAAGCACATCAGCCTGTGTGATCATAAGGTGTTGACAGCATCAGGTATCAGGCATCAGAAGACCCCACACAAACAATAATATTGATGCAAATGAGGGGGCTTAGTAGAGACCCAGAGTCCTTCTGTAGACAATTGGACAACCCCTCCCAGAAGGGTCACAAGGAAGGGACGAGGCAGCCAGGGTGCAGTATAGCACCGACAAAGCACACAACATTCCTCTAGTTCTTTAATGCTTCCTCCCCACCACTATCATGACCCCAGTTCTACCTTACAAATCTGGCTAGACCAGAGCATGTACACTGGTACAGATAAGAGTTCTAGACACATGGAACCCAGGACATATAAACCCCACAGGAACAATAATAGGAGTAGCGATACCATGAGGGTAGGGGAAAAAGGGGGAACTGATCACAATGATTAACATATAACCCCACTCCCAGGTGTACAAACAACAGAAACGTGGGTGAAGGAAGACAGTGGATGGTGTAAGATATGAAAATAATAATAATTTATAATTTATCAAGGGTTCATGAGGGTGGGAGGATTGGGGAGGGAGGGAAAAAAGTGGATCTGATACCAAGGGCTCAAGTAGAAAAAAAATGTTTTGAAAATGATGATGGCAACATATGTACAAATGTGCTTGATACAATGGACGTATGGATTGTTATAAGAGCTGTAAGAGCCCTGAGCTCTCAATAAAATGATTTTTTAAAGATAAAATCTATACACACACACACAAAAAAAAACAGTCTCAGAAACTCGGTGTGGCCATTCTACACAGGCAGTCGTGGGGTTAGTGAAGCTCATCATGAATAGGACAGGAGACGCAAATATAAACACAACCCCACTGCCACATCTTTCTCCTGCAGAGTGGCTGATGGGTTCAAACTGCCAGTCTTGCAGTTAGCAGCCGAGCACTTAGCCAGTGCACCACCAGAGCTCCTCGGAAAGGGGCAAAGAAACACTTAAAAACATTGTTGTCAGGTTGATTGAAATTCATCATGATCCGAGAGATATTACTGCTCTCAAGGGTTTCTGAGACTATAAATTTTGATGGAAGCAGACTGCCACATCTTTCTCCTGTGGGGTGGTCAGTGGGTTTGAATTACCGACCTTGTGGTTAACAGTCTAATGGTTAGCCAATTATACCACTAGTACTTCCCATGATGGGGAAAGGGTTGATCATATGCATATTACATTAAAAGTACACATTTAATCAGAAAATCTATGTTATAACGGCTGTTAAAACTACTCAAATAGGCAAGGCACACAAAAGAAATTATGTATCTTGGAGGAAGTACATCCAGAATGCTTCTTAGAAGCAAGGATGGCAAGACTTCATTTGTCTTGCATACTTTGGACATGTTATCAAGAGAGACCAGTCCCTGGAGAAGGACATCATGCTTGGTCGAGTAGAGGGGCAGCAAAAGGGAGGAAGGTCTTTGACAAGATGGATTGGCACAGTGCCTACAATATGGGCTCAGACTTAACAGCAATTGTGAGGATGGTGCAGTACAGGACAGTGTCTCGTTCTGCTGTACACAGGGATCAATGAGTTGGAACCAACTTAATGGCAACTGAAAACAACAACAAAATAGATAATTCCTCAGTCTGTACTAATAACCAGACATATAAATTAAAATTCAATGCCATCATATGCTACCGAAATACTCAAAAATTTAAAATTACAATCCAAATGCTGATGAAGTTATGGTGAAAATAATGTTCTCAAGCATTCATGGCAACAGAGATAAGCAAAATTTTTAAAAAGCAATTTGAATA